AATAGTAGAGCTATCGATTATTTTCAAAGTAATTATCCTTTATATAACAATTTGAAGTTTTTTCACCAGCATTGTGCATGTCATGTTATTAATTTAATTGTGAAAAGTGGTATGAGAACAATTAAAGAAAATATTGATAGAATTAGAGATTGTTTAGCTTGGATTACTGGTAGTAACAAAAGAAATGCTGAATTTCAAGATGTTTGTATAAAATCAAATATGTCTCCTAGAATTTTTGCATTAGACATGCCTGTTAGATGGAATAGTACTTATTTAATACTTGATTCATGTTTACCTTATGCTAATTTAATTAGTTATTTTGTAGCAAATAATAGAGGTCTGCATTATTTGGTAGAAAATGATTGGCAAATAGCTAAAGTATTTCATTCTTTTCTTAAAATTTTTTATCAATCCACTTTACAACTTTCTAGTATGTATTATCCTACTAGTCCATTGGTAATACATACAATTATAAAAATTTCAGAGTTATTTACAAAAAACAAGAGTTATTTACAAAAAACAAAAACAATGAAATTTTTAAAGAACCAATAAAGGCAATGAAATTTTTTTTTTTTTCAAATATTTTAAACCTATTCCTTTTCTTTATTGTTTAGGTGTCATTTTTTATCCTAGAATTAAACAAGAAGGTTTAGAAAATGGTTTAGAGACATTAACTGAAAATTTACAAAACTTAGCATTTGTTAATCAAATAGGAGAGGTAAAAAATTATCTTGCTGAGGTATATTTCTAATATGAAAACAGGTATGGGAACCTGCAAAGACACGAAATATATAGGGAAGTTGCATCAAAAGAAACACATGAAGACTTCTACACCTAGAGTGCATTTAATAGGCCGAAGAGGAACCGAACCTGAAGCACAGGCGCAGCCTCCTCTTCAGAAGCACCAACAGCAACAACGAATCTACTGTCCGCCATGCAGTCAAAGAGTAACGAGCTTCAACAATATTTGGAAACTCCTGAAATGTTATCAACAGATCCACAATAAAGAGCCAACTTTGATGTCTTGGAATATTGGAAAACCAGAAAATGTATTTTTCCGGTATTATCAAGACTTGCCTTGGATATTTTTGCTGTTCCAGTCTCAACCATCTCATCCGAGCAAACATTTAGTGCAAGTGGAAGAATTTTAAATGAAAGGAGAACTAAACTTTCACAAAAAATGATTGAAGTCCTCACATGTCTTCGAGATTGGGAACGGTCGTACCATCAAGATTAATACGAGGTTCTCGACGATACTTTAATATAATCATTTCAATTTTGTAATATAGATGATACGGATGAGGGAGGTCCTAGTCAACTCCAAAATTAGTTGTTTTGTAAATTGTAACTTGTAAATTAATTGTCAATTATTGCACTCTTTTTTCCTTACCAAGTTTTTGTCCATTGGGTTTTTCTTGGTGAGGTTTTTAACGAGGCAATAATTATTATAATTTCTTATTTTATTTTTTGATAAATGAATAAATTTAATTTTTCTTATATTACAATTTTAATGTATTAAAATTAAATTAATATTTGAAATGTTAACCAAAAAAAAAATTAATTTAATTTAATTATTGATATTTGAAAAGAAGTTAACTAAAAACAATTACATTTATTCATTTAGAAATTGTTAATTATTCATTTGAGAAGTTAATTAAACATTTAAACTTAAACAAAACAAAATCAAAAAAAAAAAATCAAAAAGGGGGTTAACCCGGCCCGACCCGCAGCCTAACCCGGCGGGTTAGGGTTGGGCCAGCCAATCCCCCAAAATTGGCGGGCCTAACCTGGCCTACCTTTGTTGGCGGGCGGGTCAGGACAGACCCGCCAAAATGCGTAACCCGCCGTGGGCCGGGCGGGTTAATTTTCCACCTCTAGTTCCAATACATGATCTTCTATCCGTTTCAAAAGTAAGCGATTAAAGTGTTGCCGATAATAACCCCTTTCCCCAAAACGACGAAAGGAATGAATTGTATGTCGTTGCTTGAACTTTTACAACCATCCATTTGAAAATCCAAACGAGGTAGCTTCGGGATAGAGTTTCCTTAGAAAAATATTTCCCTTCTCTTTTAACAATTCACCATTCATATTGACATGCTCTTGATGGCATACAAACCATTCATAAAGGGCAAACTCCATTGCTGGGTACTTTACCATCTTTGAATGTTTTGTGTTTGGGTTCAACAATCCCTCTTCTTGAAGGAGGTTAGCTGATCGTTTGAGTGTCTTAGATATTACTGCTTGTGATACCTTAAGACCATGAGTATCTTCTAACCACTTCGCAAGATCTTTCTGCTTCCAACTAGGGTTTGATTCTTTCATTTTGCACAATTCAACACGAATACTTTCAGTCAATTGAGTTTATATATTAACTTTGGGTGGCATGATTGATTTGCTAGAGGAAGAAGAAAGGTATCACTTGACTTGGTGGAAGATTTTATTGAAAACTTAATTGAATAAGATGAAACATAACAACCCTATTTATAGCAGGCTAATCATAATTGAAGTCCTAATATATACTATTAAAACATGAATTATAAAATAAAAAATCAAAATAGTTTTTTTGTAACTGCACCTCTATTAAGTTATAACCTCTTTATAGTAATAAATTAATTTGATCACAACATTATGACTATAAAAAGGTTTTACTGTAATTGAAAGAAGAAGAAGGTTGTTCATAGAAAGGTTTTACTGTAATTGAAAGAAGAAGAAGGTTGTTCAGTAAATAAGTGGGTTCAATTAGCATTCTCTATTTACTAAAACCTTGCCCATGTTATTGGGCCAGCTCATTTTAGATTTGAAGCCAACCCATCACAATTGGGTTTCTTGTTGAGGACTGGAAAGATTTGCATTTACAAAATATGATGAATTTTCCTCTCACCCTCCTATTCAATGTGGAATAAACAGGATTTCACTTATCAACAGGGAGCTTTTTGAGATTTATTTATTTATAATATTATAAACTACAACTAGGCCTTATCTAGCATGCTCTTTTTCGTATGCTCATGTATCTGGATCATATTTATTTATACTGAGAAAGCCCATAATAAAAAATGCGTGTTATTTATTGTGATATGTTTTCTTGTTTGCCAAGTTTAGTTTTCATGTTCTAGAACAAACATCAAAGAAATGTGGGAATGTAGACATTTTAGAATTATGATGTGATGGGTGAGATGAAAATAATAAGTTTAATTGATGGTTATATTCTAACTAATTAATTATGTCTTAAGCTGAAATTAATGATTAATTACAAGTTTAATTTTGTTGAAATACGTTGAGATGGATTGACAATGATGAGAAAGCCATGCAAAATGCAATATCTGTTTGAATCCAAATGATTAGAATGTACCAGCTTTTGCAAGTAACCACCTATTTTTCTCTCTTTCACTGAAACGTGTGGACCAACCCATCTCAATCCAAATTCAAATCTAATACTAAATCTATATATGATGTTGACATTACACATTATGTGAAATCTCTCCCTTTATAATCTAGCAACTGGTAAAAGGCAATTGCGTTATATTCTGAGTAGAGCATATTCCACCAAACAATGTGATATGAGTTACGAGGGCGTGATGAATAGAAGATGCGGCAATGGACGATTACAGATACAGAACATGACCCAACCAACAACAATTATATGCAGTGGGTCCTCTACCTCTACGTTCTTACTTCCTCACTCAGTACATTGAATTTAGAAAAAAAAGAAAACAACTTGAAAGTTACCTATGCTTGACAGATTGATGTTTGTTTTACTTCACACAGAGTTTCCGTTTTCATTCTAAAGGAATCTCCTTCTGTAATTTCTTTAAATTCTAGAATTTGCAGTTGAGCAGAGATAAACGTTTACTGGTTACATTAAGAATATGGCAATAACATAAATATGAAGGCAAGTGGGTGGCCATAACATAATTATATGCAGTTAACATCAAATTGACTTTGCAGTAGACTTGAAATGGAAGTTTCTTGGTATTGGTCAGTTGATAAAGTTTTAAGTTGAGATAATGTTAGTGTCATAAAGGAGCTAAAAGACATAAACGTGTATATATATATGGTCCTTGTTAGATTGGGAATCGTTTTCTCTTTGTACGGACCAGAAAACTGAATAATGCTCAATTCATTTTGTGGGGTTTCTTACATGAGAATATATACCACATAAGCACTTGCCACACATGTGTGCATTTGCGCTTGTTCGCACGCGTGAGAGAAGAAGCCTGGAGTTTCTGTCAAGGATTGTTTAAATTTAAAGGAAGCTGCCGGTTGTATTATTTCCTCGAAATCATCTAAAGTGATAGAGAGAAAATGACAGACAACCATTTAAATCTTAAGCTGGAGAAAAGCATTCAGTTAACAAGGCTATCACGTTTTTTCATTTGTCATAAAAGGAGGCTAAAGTTTAAAGCAGAGTTGCAATTGAAATATATAGACTGCATATAAAGTTGTTGATCTTACTGGTTTCTAAATAAAAAAAGAAGGGTCAACATGAAAAAGGAAAAAAAAGTAAAAAAAAATATTCCATGAATCAATAACAAATACCTTCTCTTGATTGTTTACAGATGGAATCGCAGCAACAGCAATGCATATGCTATGAGAAGGCCAAGTAGAATAAAAGACACATAAACAAGCCTTATTCTGCAACTCTATCNCTGGAGAAAAGCATTCAGTTAACAAGGCTATCACGTTTTTTCATTTGTCATAAAAGGAGGCTAAAGTTTAAAGCAGAGTTGCAATTGAATATATAGATTGCATATAAAGTTGTTGATCTTACTGGTTTCTAAATAAAAAAAGAAGGGTCAAGATGAAAAAGTAAAAAAAAGTGAAGAAATATTCCATGAATCAATAACAAATACCTTCTCTTGATTGTTTACAGATGGAATCGCAGCAACAGCAATGCATATGCTATGAGAAGGCCAAGTAGAATAAAAGACACATAAACAAGCCTTATTCTGCAACTCTACCCCACACGCAACGCAGCAACAAAAAGCTAATAACAAGATTACTTTTTTTTTTTTTTGGGTAAATTTTCTGAAACCAGAGGGTGAGAAATGTTTGTATCAGACTTATATACAAAAGAAAAATCTTTGGCACTCACTTGATGTAAAAAAAATAAAAATAAAAACAAAAAACAACATTTGTTTAAGCCCCTTCCTTCTTGCTTCAATTAGAGGCTTCTCATGAATGCAGGCTAAATATTTCCGTAGGTGGCAGTAAGTCTCTGGATCTCCTTAACACATATATCAGAATTTTGTAAATTTTCTTGTTGCTGCTGGTTATGAGGCCAAATACCGCTTGAAGTATCCGCCAGGAAATGTGTTTCTGATTTTATCTCATTGTATAAAGATTGTGGAGTCTGATTTTGTAAAGCAGCCGCCATTAGTAATGATGGGTTTTGGAAATATTCAGGCCACTTAATGTCTTCAGGTTGGCTTTCCATAAGATTAATTTGACCCTCTTTTTCTGATGAGCTACAATCTGCCAATCCCCATGGGAAGATACTGTTCTCAAAGAAGGAACTGCTGCTCTGTAACTCAGTGCTGCTACTGCTGACAGTTAGATTGCTGCTATTACTGTTACTACTGGGGGCACCAGTTTCCCAGAAGCGGGATCCATTGACATTAAAAGAGGGCATTGAATGAGTATCAGAGGGAAGAGTTAAAGTAGTCTTGAAATTCATCGGTGGCGTTGAAAGGAATGAGGTAGAAATAGGAGAGAGAATGGTTGAAATAGCATTTGAAGAGAATTCAGAATTCATGTCTAAAGATTTGCTGGTTTGCATAAACCAAAGAGTGGGATTAGAAGTTGTTGAGAGCCTAGCATTAGATGTACAATTCAATTGTTGAAGGGGGAAATGCCCCACTGAATCTAAAGGCTGGCTGTTGGCGATGGTGCTTTCATGGTTTGAACTTGGAAACCTATATGGGAAGAAATTATCTTTGCTGGATACAGATGTCATCAAATTATTGTTCATGTTGTTGCCATCTATTGCTTTCGAGCCTTCTATTTCCAACTGATAGGCTTGTGCAGCAAGTGAAGTTGAACTTGGCTTTGCATTTTCTGTGTTGAGGAGATTCAATTCACTAGATACCACAGAGGATTTGTCTAAGCTGTTTGTCGGTTGATTCTTGTCTTCTCCATTTTCTATTTCGGAAAGTGGCTTGTGTGTTACAGGATCAATGCCCCTTTGCCTCAGCTTCTTCTTTAAGCAAGAGTTCCATAAATTCTTAATTTCATTGTCGGTTCTTCCAGGTAATTGTGCTGCAATCTGAGACCACCTGGAAAGCCACACAAGTCCAACAATGTTGACGACAGAGTTGCCAAATGAAAAACCTAAGAAAAAAAAAGAACATATTCAAACTGATATGAGACAATACCTATTCCCCAAAACTGCATGAAGTTCAACAATAAGGTTCTCTTCTTCTTGTGAGAATGTGCCTCTTTTCAAATCAGGCCTCAAGTAATTAATCCATCTCAATCTGCAACTCTTCCCACACCTCTGTAGACCTGCCAATTCATCACATGTAGGAGTTAAAAAAAAAAAAAAAAAAAAAAAAAAACATGAAATAATCATCTTTCTCTTTAAAATAATTATTTAAACAATGAAGAAACACAGTATGGGTATTGGAATAAAGAAAGAAAGAAAGAAAAGAAAAGAAAAGTGATGGAAGTGATTGATTACCAGCTTGCTTAGGGACAGAGCTCCAACATCCATGGCCATACTTAGTAATATGCCTTAAAAGCTTCTCATCCTCCTCAGGTGACCATAAACCTTTCCTTAACTTCTGCTTGTAACAGCAAGAGTGCCTCCCCATTTGGAGAAAGACTGAACAACAATGAGGAAGAAATTTTCCTAAAGCAGTAAGTTTGCTGTCCTAGGTAAAGTGTCAGCAATGAGCAGTGATGACTATGAATGGATTTGTAGAAGATAGATGCTTTGGTAGAATAGATGTAAACAGAGAGAGAGAGAGAGAGAGTAATAAGTTTGATAGAGAAGCTGAGAAAATGAAGTAGCAACTGAGAAAGGGAGTTGAATTAATATAAGAGCGATCTCTCAAGAGTCATAACTCACAAGGTGTTGTTATGGCTTACTTTTCTCTTCCTCTTTCTCTTATAAATTTCCTTTTCTTTATTTTTTTATAATTTCCAATTTATGGTTTGGCAAGGATATGAAATGTGTTAGTAGTCTGAGTTGCATGTGTCTCATCAAAGGTCTGAGAATTAATTTTCTTTTGCAGGGATGGTGGGGCATTTATTTTTCACTGATGAATACATTGGACAGAAAATAGAAGTTGATAGTAACCCATGCCATGCTTGTAACTTAAGTCAGTGAAATTTGATGCAGATAATAATTTACTAATTTTATATATGTATTAAAGAAAACAAAATATTTTAATATAAATATAACAGCAACCTCTCTGTAATTTGTAGAAAGGAAAGGAACCCATTGTTTATGCAGAACAACTTTTGTGTCCCAAAGAAAACACTAACAGGATCCTCACCCTTTTTAGCTTTTTGGGCAATTCTTCTAAATCATGATCACTTTGAAAAGTTTCATCATTACGTGGAAAGAAGAAATTATTTTAGTCATTTTTTTTTTCTGAAAATTTAATACCTATTTTTGATGAATTCCACTGGCACTGAGTCTTGTAAATTGCCCCACTTTCACAACACCATTCGTACTTTGTTAAATTCAAGTTGGTTTTGTGTTACTTAATCTACACGCCTATCACCAATTACGTACTTCAAATTAAAACAGAAATTTGTTCTCTGTTTTGAAGAAAAACCATGTTTAGATAAATCAACCTTCCCCTTTTTAATACCTACCAAATATGTTTGACAATAATAGTTGTAGGAGAATTAAAAGCCAACATTATAGTTTTTTAAATTTCGCAAATTGATGATAAAGAGAAAATGTCCATTTTACAACACAACCTGTTTATTTATCCTAAATTACGACTAAAACATATATCTGCCATTTAATTAAACTTATAATGAATAATAAATATAAATTGTTAATTTTCAATGATTAGAGCGGCATGAAATATGATAGATGGAATAATTCTCTACAAACTGAATATTAAACTCAGTTACTAGTAAAATATGAAACAAGTATGCAATAAAGTAATAAGCGGACCAAGTTCTTGTGCGTCTGGACCACCTTTCCTTAATCTTTTTAATTAATCTCCTTTTAAACCCTAATCCTGGCTGTCTCAACCTTTTTCTGAGGCCTTCTTTTGTCCAATCACACAGGACGACTCTATAAATATTAATAAAGCTATTTTCTTCAGGACCGTTAAAAAGGTCATTTATTACTTATTAGTTTTCAAAATTAAAATACGTGCAGGTTTTTTGAAAATTTTCTGGATATACTATTTTTTAAAAATAAATTAAATTAACTAGAACCGACATCTTCAATTATACAGTATTATAATTTATTAATTCAACATAATTTTATTAAAATATTGGAAATGACAGTTAGCTGTCGAGGCTATGGCCCGTAGGAATCTCCATAAAAGATTAGAAGAATCAAAGTTGTGATTATAAATTATAATACTAATTATCAATCACATTGACAAAAGAAAAGAGAAACACAAATCTTCCTATTAACACTGACGTGAGTGATAAGTTATTTACGCATTTTAAATAAATTCAGAAATTTTTCATCAACAAAATAATTGTTTTCTTTTAAAAATGACCCGATGGGGATGGGACCCAAGATTCGATCCATTATTAATTGGGTCCTACCCATGTATGGGCATGAAAATCAACGATTGCTAAGATGGAAAGGAAGATCAAACGGTGTAAAAGGAGTGGACCCATTGGATACTGGGCACTAGCACTACACAACATTTGCATGTGCTACACTGTTCAGATAACAGATCTCTACGCCATCTTTCTGGGTCCCCGATTGTCTCAAATTATGAAAGGTGATTAAAGGCCCGTTTTTATCAATAATATTAGTAATGGTACAATTTCACCAATGTACTAGGCCTCTAATTAACTTGTAATCACAAAATTAAATAATTTTATCCTCCCTTCAAAGGCCACTGTTGTACATTGTTTTTATCAAATTATTAACTTATTTTCCCTGATTTAAAATATCATTGACTAATAGTATGTTGTCATCTAAATTGAAAAATTAAAGAGATTGTCTGAAACTAATAATATAATTGACTTTAGACCTACTTTTTTCATGTAATTTTGGGCTAGGGAATTTGTCCTTCTTTTGACTTTGGATTTCTAAAAGGCCTACGCAATTTTATTTTGTTTCGACATGTCAATATGAATTTTATACGCATTTTGATGTGGGGACCAAAACCAAATATGAAATGGTCTTTATACTTGAGCACCGACAGAGAAGATGAAAACCCTAAAAATAATTAGGATATACAGATTATTGATTTAAGCGTTAATCGCTTGATAATTGTGATGCTACATGTATATCAACCCAACGAATGTGACACTATTGTCCAATCATTATAATTATTTGATACAAATATATTAGCTTTTGCTTTTAATTAGATATCCAATGAACCAACATATTACTTTATAATATATCTTGATTGTCATGTTTTGCTGTAAATCACAATTATATACTTTCGATAAATGCCATTGAAATAGTTCATTTCTTCAGATACTCCAATACCTAATACGTTTGGTTCAATGGAGGCGCCACAGAGCAGAAGTCGAGCTCTTGAAGTTGAAGTCTAGCCTGGACCAAGCCGGCCGTTTTGGAAAACTGACATGCGCAAAATTCCTTTATAATTAAATCAATGCAACATGCAGCTTCATTAAGTAATAAGTAGTAGCTTTGTATATAGTATACTATTGAATTATACAAATTAACTTGTTTGATTAAATTACAACCGCGGACTTGGAAAGATTCATTGTTTTTTCTTTGCAATATGTTGTTTATAAATAGGATAAAAATGGATTCGATCATTTGAAAAAGAACAGAAAAATACAATGTTTTTTAGTACTTCATTGGAAGGCAACTATTCCACCAAGGTGTGCTTGTTATTATGTTATATATATATACATACAGACAACAGCATCATCAAAAGAGCATCTTCAACTCTTTCTCTCTCTTTTTCTCTCCAACCTAATAATGGAAATTAAAATCCTAAGAATAAATAAGTATATATAAGTCTTCATCCTTTTCTTATTATTATATAGTTTGTCTTCATGTAACACAATTATGAGGCCTTCTTGACCTTAGCAATGTCCCAATTCACACATCCAACAAGATCAAATTATTATAATTTAACTAAAACTCAAAAGATACTTCTAATCTCTCCATACCTCATCATTCACTCGTGAGCTTATGATATGCAAGCACATGAGCTGTTTTTTTTGTTTAGTCAACCATATTCTTCACAATAATAGATAAACATATATGCAAATACGTTAATTAATTATACATTAATTTAGAGCTTTCGTGGTCATGGCCAGTCGGCTCATTGATAATACAGTTGTTGATCTAACGTAAAAATTGACTACAATCCTTTTTATTTATGTCAATTCGTTTGAGAATTTATACCAGGAGATAAATGCAAACAAAATTAGAGTAATTTATCGAATGCTTCCAAAAACAAAAGTTAGGGTAGGCGCTGTCTTAGGCTCGAGGATGGCGAGCGCGAGACTTAAGTCGTGGATGGCAAAATTTGGAGTTTCTGAAAAGATATTATGATTGAGAAATTAATTAATGGCAACCTTCATCATCAATTTAAACCGAATATTATTCTTATCATCACACAAGTACATTTCTAAATATAGAAAATAGGGCAACATTAAAGCTTATGATAGGAAATTTTTGCGGCAACAAAGTCTCAATCCAAGACTGAATTTGATGATAACAAATTGCTATTTTTATGCAAACACAGTCCGGAACATACTCTGACTGTCTGACAATTGATAATATAGTAGATAATTAAAGTATAGTACTATACATGCAGGAACTGTTCTTTAATGGTTTGAACGTTAAAGAAACATAGAAAGCAAGTTGGATAAGAGCAGAATCGCGTATATTGAAGCGTCAATTGAGCCAAGATTCATGACTAAAGATCAGGCAATGGCCTACGTGGGATATCGAAGATGATTTTTAAGATCTTGCAGTTGTCTAGGTTCATTGCTTGCACGAGTGCGCTAATGATCGGATCCAGTAAGTTTTAATCAAATCAAATTGTAAGTACTTGGTACGTAAATGTCCCTTCAAGTGGCTGAGCTGGGAAAGCCCTGATATGTAGCGCCAATTAAACACTGCCCAGTTTATGTTTATCCTCGCAAAGAAATTTTAATGGGAAGATAGATAAGGTTTTGTGTGTCGGGTGGGGTATATAAATATATGACCCTAGTCCAATTAAACCCCACCACCGGGTCTTGCCTTTAATCATTTTGCCCTATTAAGGTTCAAAAGTAATGCCAAAAAGGGAAGAAGCACCAAAATTTGTTTAGTTCGTTTTCAAAAAACACACCGCTACGTACATCAGAGCAGAGGAGTCGAAACCATTAATCTTCCGTCGTTCGCATTTCTTTTAAATGAGATGTGTCACAAAGTTGGGCAAACAGAGTGGTTCAATTAAGCGATTGGGCTGAGCTTATACATTGTTAGAGAGGCTGAGCTGGAACAACAGTACAAAATCCTATGAACCATAGATATAATTTAGAGTAAGGGACCCGAAGCAATCAAGTCCGAAAAGCAAGACCGAAATGTGAAAATGTGACCCATTTCACCGTTATTGCATCTAAGGATATGTCACACTCTTAATGTCAAGTACACCAAAAGACTCCAAGGCATCATATGAAAAGGAAAAGTGGGGAAATAAATATTGAAGCATAGCAGAGCTGTACCAAAACATCTAAACCATTCACTGGAGAAAGAAAGAATTGAAGAAAAGTATAGCCCATGGCCATAGAACACCCTCCTGGGTCCCAAAACTTTAACACACACAATTTGAAGAAAGCTGTAATGTGGACCCTTTTGATCTGGCCGTCCATCAATCGGGTCCCATATGAATAGACGACGGATGACGTGATGCTACGCGCTAGGACGTACAATAATGATTAATTATCATGACCATGCAATGTATTGATGTC